AAACTAAAAGTGTGAACAATTTTTCGAGTTGTAATACTCTGGCACAAATGTGTAATTCTAAACTCCTTTGTTTATTAACAAGATACAAACTGTTAAAAGCTCAAACTTATTTTCTAATAAATACGAATCTCTGATTAAGTGCAAACCAAGGATAGAAGAAAAAATTTATGATATAACTTTAGATAATTCTTGGTCTATTAAAACATCAATATTCTTATCTTCCATTAGGGATTATGATGATTTAATTAATAAATGCTTTGAATTCGATTGGGAAAACTCAAAAATCAATACTATTTTAAACTCTTTCTTAAATATTCTTGAGGAAAAATAAGAAGTAAAAGAACTTTTTAAGAACCGTTATAATTCATTAATGAATCTCTACAAATACCATTCTTCTATAGGAATGATTGGTGATATACCAACAATTTCTTAGAGTTAATTTCTTGCTTTAGCAAACAAAATGAAATTGACAGATGGAAAATTATATAAAATAGTAGACATTGATTACAACTTTATTTCAGCTATCTCAAATACCGATAAGGAGCGCAACTATTTAAATCCTGAGAAAGCAGTTATAAGATTTTAATTTTTAGAACTAATAGTAAGAATTATCTGTGACAAATATATGAGAAAGGGAAATTGTAAAAATGTTTAAAAAGCCATCTAAAAATTTTTTGATAAAAAATCTATCAAATCAGTAATAGAAGAAATAGAAGACCCTTAAAAATGGAGAGATGAAAGATTCTGGAATGAAGGATGTGAATAAGTACTAAAAAATCACATTGATACCATCTAAGAAATATGGCATAGATGGGCTGACAGTAAAAAAGAAGAAAAAAGAAACTTGAAATTCCAAAAATCTATGAGTATTTATGAATTTACTGATATGGTTAAGCATTTTAAATTGTTAAGTGAATCTTTTACTGAAAAAGATGTTTAAATTATGTTTAACCTTTCAATTATGATTCAAATTGATGAAATCGAATAATAATAAATTTATTAATATGTCATTTATAGAGTTTATTTGAGCTTTAGGCAGAGTTGCAAAAAAAAAAATCT